TGTGCCAGGCTGAGGCTGTGATGGCCGAGGGGTGAAGGCGTTGGACTTGAAATCCAATAGGGTTTCCCTGCGCAGGTTCGAATCCTGCTCACAGCGAAGGATTTTACCCCTGGAGATGGGAATGCCATTCTGAGACCCTGGCAAGGAGAGGCTGTATGTGTCTCCTCCCAGCTGTGATCAGCAGCTCCATGTTTGAATCCACATCAAAGCCCCTGCCAGGGGTGTGTGTATGGGCAGCCCAGAGCAAGAGGGACAGAGGCCCCAGGGGCTGCCCAGTTTTACAGCCCTGCAAGAGGTAGGGAAGTGGGAGGCAAAGTATATTTGTGCTTGGGACTGCTCTGCACAGTGCCTGTGCCTGGTGTTTGCAAGCCTCTGTGCAGTGCCCAGGGCAAGAGCTGCTGGCACACTGCGCTGCTGGGGGAGCCCGGGTGCTCTGGCTCATTGGTCTGTGTATGATTCTTGCTTTGGGTGTCAGAGGTGCGAGCCCAACTCTTTTCCACACTCCTGCCCTGAGCGGCCCCAGTGCTCACAGCTGAGAACAGACCCTATGTGCAGGGATGCCACTTTCCTAATACACACCAACACCACACAGCACAGCCAGGGCCAGGCCTGGGCCACTCCTCATGCTGAAAATGAAGACAGCAGAGCAAAGCACCATGGCCCAGGGAACAGCTTTGCCCAGCTCCACCACCACCACTCAAGGAATGCAAGCAAGAACCACCTTACACAGCCATAAACAGATCACCCTCACCTTCTCTCAGAACGGTGCAGACGTCTCAACAAACAGGAATTATAGCCTTGGAATATTTAACTTAATAATTATTGAGTTTCAAACTTGCATCCCTGGCTGTTTCAGTCCAGGATGCTGTAAACATTCTGGACTGAGCTGTGCTTGCACCCCTGTCTCCCCATCCCCAAGGGGAGCAACTCAGAGGCTGTGGGTGTGGGGTAGCTGAGTGCAGTCTAGGGTGCAGTGCAGTGCTGACAGAACAAACAGAGCTTCCAGCTCATCAGGATGCAAGCCATGGATCCCTGCTTCCATGAGTGGCACCAGGAGGACCAGACCAGAATACCAGTGCCTTTTGATTTCCATGCCTTTTCCTTTGTGACTCAGGTGTGTGGGTGGCCTGTGATTATTTTGCTCCATGAGATTTCCAGCCCTGAGGAAGAACCACAGCCCTCACTGTGGAGTTCCCCAAGGCTGGAATCACTGCCTGTCTGGCTCCCCGGGCTTTTGCAGGTCTCTGCCCCGTGGCTGGTCTGTGGGTGCAGCCGTTGGTGTCTGGGACAGTTTGCCCATCTCAGCAACAATCTCTCCTCCCTCTTATCCCTGTCACACAACTCATCACTCTCTCCTTAATAAAAACTTAAGAGTAGATGCCCGCAAACAAATCCCACCATGGACTGTCACATCTGCTGGCTCCCTGTCACCACCAGGCTGACTCCAGGATACATGTCCCCAAGCACTCTGACCAGTAGTTCTTGTCTCAGCAAGGATGAGGGAAGTTACCCACTGAGAGATCCTTGCAGTTCTGAGGGTTGCCCTCAGCTTGTTGTCCAGGTGCTGGGACAGAGTTTACCTTTTATGACCTGGCAATGGAGCTGTCTCCTTGACCTGTCCCACTGCTGTGAGCCACCAGGACTCTGGCCTCCACATCTGGATGTGCAGAGAAGGCATGCACAGAGGTACTGGAATCCTGCTGTTTCAGTAGCCATCTAGTCACCACCAATCTGTTCATTTTTATCACCAAACCCAAGTTGCCTGGGGCTTCCACTCCTGACAGTCTCACTGACTCACCATTTGTAGCAGTCTTCTCTTTTCCATGACAATTCTTTGTGTGTCTCCATTTGTTGCAGCCCAAGCCATGACTTCGTCCTTCCTCTCCCCTTTCTCCATCACCAGAGGAGCCAGGCACCCATCACAGCACTTGGAAAGAGCTGTGGGCTTTCCTTGTGCAGTAGATACTTGCTCTCTGCTACTATTGGCTTCCCCAAGCACAGAAATGCAGATCAAAACAAGTGAGCCCATTCACCAAGGGTGGTGGTATAAGCTGGGCTGTGCTTGTGGTAATAAACAACCTAAAGAGGAGATCAACACCCCAGTGGACATGATCTCCTAAAAGGGAGGTGCCACCGTCACAGTTGCAGAACAGCATGATTTGAGCTGGAGTACTCCACCACTGTAATTTTTGCTAGTGCATTTGAGTCCACAAAAGCAAAGGATAGAAGAATGAAAATGAAGGGAAGTAGGAGTTTCCAGGAGGCACCGATTGCTGAAGGAGGAGGATCCTGTGTGATGGCTGGGAAGAGGTTTCTTCCAAGGACGTGAACAGGTCAGCAAAGATGAGAGGGCAGCAGAAGTCGTGAAACTCTATAGATCCAGGCATGGCCCAAGAGTCACATTTAGACTGCTCTCCAGTCTTCTCTGAGCACAGCTGAAAGCTGTGAGAAAGTAATGCTGTGACCAAACCCCGGCACCCATCTATTTCCTTCCATGTGCCTCTTTCCACAACTGAGCTCCATTTTTCATCTCAATCTCCATATGTAGTTCCCAGTTTCTCACTGGGGCCTGTGGCTGCAATGTCTTTACAGGAACCTGTATTTTAGGGCCTAATTAGCAGGTCTGTGGGGTTCTGCTTGGGGCAAGCAGTGTCTGGGGGGAATACAAAGTGGAGTGAATTCAGGACAGCTCTTGAGCTGGTAACCAAAATGGCCAGGCTCCCAGCCTGGAGTCACAGCAGCCCTGGAGACAGGTGCCAGGTCCCTTGGGCTGGGGGTCACTGCAGGGCCTCAGATCCTCCCTTGCCTGGCTCTGTCTGCACTGAGACATCACAATTTACAAGTCAAATTAAGGACTTGCATGGATTTCAGTCTCCTTTGAGACACTGGCTCTTCAGAAAAGAAAAGTCAATACCATCTCACCCATGGAGTCACTGTGAAAAGCTATATCATAATGTCATTATTCTTTTCCCCTGCTCCATCCTGTATTGTCCTATGCAGCAGGCTGTTGGAAAGCAGATGTACCAGCCTCAGATGCCTATAACTTTCTAATAATGCTCTTGCTACTAATTCACTGCTTTTCCTCTTTGCAGCACTTGGGACAATTTTGCATTCCCTCTCTATGGAACAATGTCTGCAGTTGGTCTAAAAATATCTCAGCAGTCCTTGGATCATGGATGTGAACCCACGCCTCTTTTTTCCCACAGCTCTGATTGCCTAGCAAGTGCCATGCAGAGTATTTCCAAATTAGGAGCACTTCTATGAAGATCTGAGCAGTAGAACCAGTTGAGCTTGGGAAGACCAACTTGCTTGCAAACCCAGCATAATACCTCATTCTAAACACTCATAAGCTCTGTGTAGATTTTCACACCACCAAAATGTATAAAGACTGAATGATTTATACAAAGTCTATGGAGGACTTAGTTGCACTCTTATTCCTTATTTCATTAGCTGAAAATGTTCTGCTTGATGTTCCATGGCATCTTACAAAGAGACTTACTCAGTGCCTACATCCTGTAAAATAGTTATTCTTCTTCATCTAATGACTTCAGTCAAAATCTGCAGGTCCTTATTTTTGGGAATAGCTCAGGGCGGAGCTCGTTGTGCTGTGGCTACGGCCAGAAATAGAGATAGCCTCATGAGATCTGAGAAAGTCCCCTGAAACATATGGGAAGAGAGATTTTGTATTCATTTTGAAAGTATTTTTAATAAAACAGGTTGTTTTAAGTGATTGTTTTCATGGAGATACAGATGCTTCCCGCCTCTGCCATCATCAAAAGCAGAAAGGAAGACTGGAAATGACATAAATTCTTGTTGCACAGAAATGACAGCTGTTACACAGCTCCAAGTGTGTCAGTAGCCAGTACAATAGCATTAGGGCTTTTCTCTAACGTTGTATGTGGTTTTACAGTACTCTGTTCAGCAACAGAAAGCAAGGATCCAGAAGGAATGGTCTGGCATGTGCTGATCTCTCCATTCTCTGATTATACTGCAGCTGCCCCAGGTAGCTTTAATCATAGACTCATGGAGTCATTAAGACTGGGAAAGACCTCTAAGATCACCAAGTCCAACCATCAGCCCACCCCATCATGTCTGCTGACCACGTCCCTTGGTGCCACATCTCTGCAGTTCTGGAACGCCTCCAGAGATAAGTGACCCCACCTCCCTGGGAAAAATTGGACAAAGGATGGCCATTCGAAGAAGTATCTCCCAAGAAGGCAACTCATGTCTCTTTACCCTCCATCCAACGAAAAACTCACTGCAAAAACAGGCAAAATACCATTTTGAATCAACAGCCTTGTGGGAAAAGGCAGTGAGGCTGTTGCATGTGTCCCTAAGCTTTGCTGTAGGGTAGCAATAAAGGTCTGCAGAAGTTTTCCTTTGGGCTGGACACAGCAAGCCATGTGCTTACATCAGCACAGTGTGGCACTGAGCATCAGAAATTCCCATTTCAGACCAAAAAAACAACACCCACATAGCAATAAGTTGCAACCAGAGCACGTCACCACTTCAGACCAGAGGCAAAAAGAACACCAGAAGACTCAGGCTGTGATGTAGTATGTCTTTAATGAGAAAAAGAAATAGAATAGACCAGTTGAGAGTATGAGAAGTGCATTTCTAATGCTCACTAAAGGAACGGACAAACACTATTTAAGGACAAAATGACTCCTACGAGGTGATCCTCTGCCCCTGCTGCCTCTGCAGCTCTTGGCAACCATCTTCTGTCTGCAGCCAGCTTTAAGCTAATAGTAAATGCTGAGTAACACCACAGGGTGTTACACTTACATGGAAGCATACAGTAAGGCATAGCTAGAGAAAGGTATACAGAGGCGCGATCTTGAATGAAAAGTACCCATGGATCCCTTCTTGCTGGGAGAGGTGCCCCCTACGTCTTGGAAACACGTGGGCACTTCCTTAGTCCTCTTCCCCAGTCTTGTTCCTGTGCTTCGTTTTTCCTTCCTTGCTGGCCTCAGTGGGACGAGGTGGCCGATGGGGACACCCTACAGCCCACCCCCGAGGCACAGCAAGGCCCCTTTCCCCAGCCCCCGTGTGCCACCGGAGGCCACTGGCACCCCGCAGCACCGGAGGTAGCTCCCGACTGCTGCCGATGCTGTGGACCCCACCGTGGTGCTCTGCGGGTAGGAGCTGAGGATGGGCCCAGGCAAGGTCACCACCACAGTGGGGGGCTGGATGACGGTGGTGGAGTCCCAGCAGCGCCGGTAGCAGGGCTCGTTGCAGCTGGTGGCCAGTGGCCTGGGGCTGCAGGAGGCGGGCAGGCACAGGTCGTAGCAGGACATCGTGCAGCGAGAACGGGCACCTGGAAGGCAGAGGAGGGCATAAGCGCAGGGCAGATGCCGTCCCTTCCCTCTGAGCTCTGACTTAGTGGCTCTGGCAACCAGAGGGAGGGATAATTTGATTTCATTTGAATGACCTGCCCTGGGAGGCAGAGCTGGAGAGGTGACAGCAGTCCTTCAGCAAGCAGAGTGCTCACTGGAATGCTTCCTGTTGCTGTAACAAAAATCTTAAATCAACGCAACACGAGTGAGCTGGATTTAGCACAGGCTAAAATTAAAGGGATCTCTGCTGCCTTCCCTTCAACAGGGGGGCACTGATCTCTGTAACCAGGGAATGCGCTATTCTTTTTGCTCTTTATATTCTTTTTTAGCAAAAAAAATCCATGCAGGACGTGCCTGGCTATGTGGCTACAGATCCCTGTGGCACGTACCCAGTTCACCTTGCATTCCTCATCCCCTTGCACCCTCATGTTATGGCAGGAAGAATCCCTTCCCCGAGGCCTCTGCAGGTGGGAGGCAGACAGCAAACCTCGACCCCTCTCTGAGGACCGGGCAGCACACATCAGTGCCGACAGCAGCTCGGTCAGAGGAAGGAACGGAGCATCTCAACTTACCTGGGCAGTAGAAGACGCAGTGGCTGGGAAGTGGGTGGCAGGGCCTTCAGCACCTGGTGTTATATAGGGTGCCCCGACCCCCAGGGGAGCTGGCGCATTCCTTCCACATGAAACTTCTCAGTAACCAGCAGTTTTCTCCTGGAAAGCTCCCCCAGCTGATTAAAAAGTTTCATCTTTCATCTGTCGTGTTTTGTTTCCATTTAGTACTGAGTAAGATTGAAATGATTCCAGCTACAGGCAGTAATTATCTTACCTCCCAGGGCCAAAGTACATTTTAGGTTGGATGCTATGAGACAGAAGAGTGCTTCAGCAGAATTTAGGGCAGGTGCATCCCCAGCACATCTCCCCTCCCTCCCCACCTTCTTCTGAGCACAACCGTAAATCAGTGGGGAATTCAGCTCCCAAGTTCAGCTGAGGTAAGCTCATAAATTTGGAGCTTTAAGCCCCAATTAAGAGAAATGCATCCGTGCACAAGTTCAGTACAAACAGCCAGGCTCCTGCACTGCCTCAACGTCACGGGATCCTGTTGGTGATTGGAAGATGGGGGATGCTGCAGAGGTGAGGGGTGGTGAGGGAGGTGATCCAACGCATGGTGCTGCAGTTCTGCAGCCCTCATCCTTCCCCAGCTATCCGGGTAGCACAGACATAGACACGGCTCAGTGCAAGCCCAGTGTAGCTGAGCTAATCTGGCGTGACCAAGTGTTTATTTGGATCCACATGGACTATTTCGTATTTTGATATTCCTCAGATGTGAAGCATGTATTCAGTTTGGAAAGTTGAGAGTTGAGCAGATTTTAAAAGTAAACGAATCAAAGGCACAGAAAGGCGTTAAAAAGACTCTGGAGTCCATCCCTGAAGGTGACAGTGACCGTAAGCAGCGAACTTTGCTCAGTGAGCTGATTGCAGAGGCCAAGAGACTTTCCAACCTGCTCTTGGGACACGCTAGGAGCAGCGAGTCAGAAGTTCACAGCTATTCTTTCCTGTGATGGAGAGAAACTGCCAAGACATTCTAATGATAGGTGTGACTTCGAATTGCTCTGCTAAACCCTGCTAACCTGCTAGAGAGACAGGGAGTCGCAGAAGTCCCGACCTGCATTTAAACATGAATCAGCTACACGCTGGGGAGAAGGAATTGCTGACGTTGTACCAAGCAGAGGAATGAGCCATCAGGCTCCAGGGGAAGCTGGAAGAAGGCTTCTCATTTCACTCCAGCAGAGCCCACGTGGAGGCATAAGCACCTTCTGCCCCAAAATAAATTATGGCAGTATCGGGCCACAAGCATGTGTGGAGCCAGGGGGGTTTCAGCATCACTGTTACAGATGTGCCTTGTAGGGGTTTTCAGAGTCACTTTAGTTACTGGGGTGAGTAGGCTGCTCACATTGGATCATCATGTTCCAGCACAACATCAGTGCATGCAGTGATGTTTGCAGTTCAAGCAGAGAGGTATTTAAAGAAGGCATGATTCTGAGTGTGAACAGATCTCTGCACTGACTGAAGTCCTTTGCTTGGAGAAGGGAAAGGGCAAAACAATGGTCACATGTCAGGAGGTCAAAATAATCAGCTTTTTGCAATAAGAGAGATTAAAACAGAAGAAAATCCATAGGGAAAAGAGTTCTTCCTGGGGGTGAGGGTGTCTAGAAGAAAAACAGGACTGGTTTCACTAACCCCTGTTCTTTTCAGGAAATGAGCTCTTTCTGCTGGAGACATGACTTTCTCTGGAGAAACCACAAAACCAAGAAAACATTGTGAAGTCAAACACATCAAGCCCATTTTCTTAACTTTTGCAATGGATCTGGGATGTGCACCCATTTCAGTCCTGAGTAGTTTTGTCCCAAACTCCCTGACTATCTCAACTAACAGGTGGAGATCATAGAGTCATGGAGTCATTCAGGTTGGGAAAGACCTCTAAGACCCCCACCCCACCATGCCCTCAGTGCCACATGCCCACGGTTCTGAAACACCTCCAGGGACAGTGACCCCACCACTCCCTGGGCAGCTGTGCATCACCGCTCTTTCTGAGAAGAAATTTTTACTGATATCCAACCTGAAATGCTGGGGATGGTTTTATTCACCCATTGAAAAAAAAACAAAACCAAACCTCCCATGGAAATTGCTGGAGTTCACAGAAGTTCCCTACAGAGCTGGTGGATAGGGACCTGTGCTTGGCTTTGGTCAGGGAGTGCCAGCCTCTGCCAACCCCCCACAGGCTGCCGAGGGAACCCTGTGGAGCAGTGAGGATACTGGCCTCTGCACAAGGACGTGTGCAAAGACTTTAGGGGAGCCCTGGGAGCACAGCCTGCCCAAAGCCTTGGGGCTGCAGGAGATCCAGTTTCACAGACTCTGTAATTGCTGGGTCCCCGGGTGAGCTGGGGCTCTGTGGCATCACCGTGGCTGGCACATTTCTGCAGAAGGTGTCATCACAGGATGCAAGGGCAGGGGCAGCCGTGCTTCTCCTGGGCTGCCATTCCTGTCGTTTCCCTGGGAAGCTTCCCACACCCCCCTACAGGAGCCTGGCTGTCACTGCTGGGACGTTCCCATTATCACAGCAGTGGGACCGCTTGGAGGTGCTGACTCTGCCACCTGTCCCTGTTCCTGGGGCAGGCCATTCCCTGATGGCTCCAAAGCATCTCACCAGGCTCAGGGAGGAAATGTGACCCCAGGGAGAGCCCAAAAGCTGACGCAGGGTCTGCAGCGTGGGCATCTCCCAGCCATAGCATGGCTCTACCACGTTTTCATCAACAGGAAGAAGCAGACAGAGTGGGAAAGGCAGCTACAAAGCTGGCACAACGTGTTTCCGTGGCTGCAGCGAAGCACCAGGGACAGGAGGTGAGGATGTGCAGGTGGACCGGGGCTGGATGGCACAGTCACCTGCAGTTGCCCCAGGGAGAGCTACCAAAATGCAGCCTGAGAGCACAGCTCTTGTCCTGGCTGCCAGGGGCTGCCCCAGAAACCCCCAGAGAGAGTCCTTATGGGACCTAGGGAGCCGACGAGGGTGGGATTCGAACCCACGCGTGCAGAGCACAATGGATTAGCAGTCCATCACCTTCACCACTCGGCCACCTCGTCCCCTGCCTTGGGGCACTTTGGGGCATTTTTTTTCATTTTTGGTAAAGCTACCGGCCCATCACTTGTTCCTCAGCGCTCCTCCCAGAGAGCTGGGCTGTGGGACTGAGCTGTGCTCCTGCCCTTCCCAGAGTGGGCAGCAACAGCATGGCAAGAGGTTTGTGGTTCTTCTGTCCCTCTTGGCCCCAGTTCAAAGAGTGATAAAGGGTAGAGTGGGCAGAACTGCTTCATTTATTTTTGCCAAAAGATGGCACCCACCTCTTAATTTCCCAAATATTCTGGATTTTGAGATAGTTTTTGTACCAGCTCTTCAATTTAAGCTTCCTAGGAATATGGAACAGAAGGAAATCATTCTTCTTTCCATGTGCAGGGCAGGGTCACCAGAGAGCTGAGAGACTCTCTCCCCAGTGTGTCCTGTGCTCATCCAGCCACTGTCTGTAGGGCATCCCAGCCTGGGGCTAGGAAGAAAACCAGCCCTCAGGCCAGACACCACTGGGGGTTAAACCCAGGATCTCCTGTTTACTAGAGAGGCACTTCAATCAGCTGAACCATGGTTCCCACCTGCCCATGATGCTGGTCCCCTCATCCCAAGGGCAGCCCCAGGACACCCTGCCCTTATGCACCCTGAGCCCCAGACCCCTACCCTGATGTGGTGTGCCTCAGCCAAGGGGGAAAGCAGCTGGCAAGCAGGTCCCTAATGCTGCATTGTTCACACCTGCCAAATTTAAGTCAGATGGGAGAAAGGCAGCCAAGCACTGCTCTGGTATGGGCAACCAGGAGAAAAGCTGAAATACTCGGGATGAAGCAAGGCACCATAGCATTCAGGCAGAAAAAGTGTCTGGCAGGAAGAAATCCTCCCAGGGCTGGTGGCTCCTGCCTGGACTTTTACTGGATGGTGATCCTACCAGCATCGGAGCCCACAGGAAAACTGGAGATAGGTATCCTCAGTGTTTCCTTCAAGATAAACGAGGAGAAGAGTGCACAGAAAAGGCAGCAGCTTGTACTGCATCCATAGCAAAAATAGGGATGGGGAATCATTGCAAATCGGAATGGGGCACAGGAGCAGTGATGGAAAGAAGTTTAACAACTGGCTCGTTGGTCTAGGGGTATGATTCTCGCTTTGGGTGCGAGAGGTCCCGGGTTCAAATCCCGGACGAGCCCTCCTTTTGGGCGCCCCCCCCACCCCACACAGTGCCTGGTGGGGCATAGCCCTCCCTGCGGACCACGGCCACCCCACTGCCTGCTGCTGCCTGATCGGGGCCGGGCCTGGGAGTGGGCTCCATCAGCAACAGTAGGGAGGTTAGAATGGGTTCCTATGGGATGTGATTTTGGGGAGGGCCCATGGGGCAGAATGGGGGATTTGGGATTTGTGGACAGGGGCAGCAAAAATACGTGGGAACTGAGGAGACTTTCTGCAAAGCTCAGCCCCATCCCCAGGACCATCCTGTATGTTTCTTTTTCAGGATGGGGGGCACAGGGATGATGGCCGTGTTGGGGAGCAGCCAGCGATGTGGGAGGTGGTGTAGCTTCCCCACGGGGTCCCCCCTCCACGGGGTCTGCCCCAGA